TCAGAATCTTATCATTGACAGCGAGGAAGCAATGCAACTATAGTTTTGCTGCTAGCTAGATGTAAACAAAGAAATCATCAGTTTAATTGTTTTTTGGGTTTTTAAGGTTGGGATCGAGATCTTTAACTACAGTTATTGGGATCCCAATCAGTAAAGATCGAGATCTGAAATTTTAAAAATCAAAATTCTTGAGAGGTCTATTCCGGGGGGCGATAAAATGGAGATCATAAAAAAGGATAGCCTACCAAAATAAGATCATAGAGTTATTTTCTAGAGAGAGAGAGAGGAGTAACGCACTAAATGCGTAATCCTAGTAGGAAAGGTGACGTGGTCTTCCTTTGGGAAAGTGGGGAATGGGGCATCAAGAGGGTGATTGACCCAACAGGATGTTGGTTTGTGGGTGCTCAGGTGGGGGCTTGTCTTTCATTGTAGAAAGAAAACCACACATTTTCTCTCACTACAAATTGGTCACTTTCTTTCACTACAAATTGCTTGTCCCTTTTATCTCTCACTACCAAGCAAGAGGAGATCACATGGAGAAGACACTGCCAAACCATCGCATCCCAATATCCTCCACCTTTGACCACTAATTACTGCTGCCTTTTTTATTAATATATTTCAACTACCAGCTCCTAAGATCCCCTTTTTCTCTCTCTAAATCATTCCTCATTTACTAGTGTTATTGTGGCTCCCTATCTTATCTCACTAAAACGTTTTGGCGACAACTTGTTTGTATAGGCGAATTAAGTCCCGCGGGCACACTTCAATTCAACCAAATTATTATGAGCTGCCCTAGTGAAAAATTTTTCACTTAGCCTCCATTGAAATGGCATGTAAAGCAAAATATTGGTTATCATGAATTAAAAAAAACACTTACCAATTGAGAGGTAAAAATATACAATATGCTCCTTCCGGACCAACTAGCAACATAGGTTTGTATGTTACAATGATCAGCGAACTTTGATCATGCTCTAAAGAAAAAGTTTATATGAGGTTGCAACCTTAAAATGTGGAATTAAAGATGCACCTCAAAAATCTATCAAAAAAGGTTTTGAAATAATTGATGTATGAATATGAAAAAAAAAAACATTGAGTCCCAAAAATGATGCATCTCGTAATACATTATCCAAATCGTCTATTTTCAAGATTTTCATGTGGTTACAGATCTAATTGATTTTAAACATTTTTTAAATTTAAAATTTTATAATTAAAAAAAATAGATTTCTGAATAATTCAAAAAAAAATTACACCAAAATTACATTTTATTATAAAATTTGAATGTGCGCTTTAATTGGATTGTTTAAAATTGCAACCTTATAAAAACCGCACCCAATCAAGAATCCTTGTCCCCCTATTTGCATATTTTAAAGGAAAATGAATAGAGGGAAAGATATATAATAAGGAGTCTTCATGCTATTTTGGTGTGCCCACACGTTAGGCAAAATTATTGAGGCACTAACTACGTAGGTACACAAAAGGGGTGTAATTTACTATTTAAGTACGGAATAGTGCGTTGCACAATTGTGAGGAAGCATACAGGGGAAGTCGTACCTTTTTTTCCAATTTTTTTAGAGAGAGAAGAGTTTTTCCACATTTTTGAGATAGAGAAGGGTTTTTTTAGAAAATTTGAGAGAAAGGTTTGACTGATGGAGCGGTAAATTTAAAGGGAGGGGGTTAGAGAGAGAGAGGGGGTAAATTTAGTGAGAGAGGGATTAGAGAAAGAGAGGGTAGAGAGAGAGAGAGGAGGGTAGAGAGAGAGAGAGATGGTTGAAGGCATCATCAATAATACTGGGCTTGCATAACTCGCAACTATGTGTGGTCTTTTTCACTCTTTACTCCAAGCTAAATATACTGGTAGCATGCAGAAATTGACTACTTTCCACAAACTTTCAATCAAATTCATCGAAATTTTAATCATGGCTAAAATATGATAATAACATTTTAAAAAAGGACCGGGTTTCTATGCGGCCAAGCCCGCATCTGTAAAAATGCGGGCCTATTAATAAATCCATTTTTAGGAAATATTTTTTAACTTAAAGACATGTAATCTTTAATGTGGAGATCGTGGATATGAAAAAATAAGTAAATTTTAAAACTAGAAAGAATAATTTTAATAAGAAAACATTTGGAGGGTTAGTTTCCGTTGTTTTTAGATGGAACACCCACTTGCATCCATCTCTTAGATGGATGCTTTACACTTTTTGGACCGTATATGTAGGCATGCGGTCCAACCATCATGAAACAATTTTCTTTTAAAAAATAGGTGTAGTTTGCATACGGATGCATCCGTAGCCGTAGAGGTAAGAAGCACCTTCAAATTTTATCATAGTATATAATCTTGATGTAAAATGTTATTAGGATTATCTCAAAATCTATTTGTATATCTAATTATAAAATTTTAAATTTAAAAAATGGTTAAAATCAAATAGATCTATAAACATATAAAAATCTTGAAAATTGACAGTGTAGAAAATATGTTGTAAAATGAATTATTTATGCGACTTAAAATTTTTTTATTTTTCATAGTCATACATCTCGACGTCGAGATGATCAATCAAAGGGTTTTTCAACAATTAAACTACCTTTTCCTATAGATTTTTGAGGGGCATCCGTAGTTCTACAATATAAGGTAGCATCCTTGTATAAACTTTTTCCTTAAAAAATAGATTGGTGGAGCATATCCTTGATCGTCGTAGAATTGGCCGAATTGGCAATTTGGATCGTTCTCGAATCGTTCGGATAGGTGATCTAAAAAATTTTAAAATAAATAAAATAAAAATTAAATTAAATTAAAATAGAGGTTTATAGGGGAAAAATTAAGAAGACCAAATATAATGTTACATAAGCTTTAAAAAAGAAGAAAAAAAAAAAACGAACATAAGATTTTAAGGGAAACTGGGAGGGGACCCATTCTATCCTACAATCGGTTTGATCCAGTCCCTATTGATTTTGCATTTTGCATTTTGCATCTAAAATGGCAATCTAGATAAAAAAATCACCGGGTTTTGAAAGAACCATCATTTTTCCTCTTTTTGGGAATAAAAACACCATGCTTTATCTCTACTAGCCCTTCCTTTTTTTTAATTTCTTAAACATTTACTTTTTTTACCAATGTATGGGGAGTGCCTAAACATGCCTTAAGCTTTCTAAAAAGTCACTAAGTTAATGTTAAATTAACTTGCTCTAAAACTTTAAAAATTGACCAAAGTCATCATTACTCCACTACCTAGTCTAAGCGGCTTCAAGCCCTTTAATTTTAAAAAGTATTAAAACAAAAGGCACGCTGATTATAGTCTCAACAAAAGGCTAAATCTGCAATAGGTGACCAAAGTACTAAACTACCCCTGAGAAAATTGACGAAACTATCCCTGACATTCCGGACCTCCATCGCGGAATACCAAGCTGCAATCCTCAGACGTACTGGCCAAGTTCGAGGTCTACGACCAACTCACCTAAAAAAATGACTGAAATTCCCTTAAACACCCCAAAAAAATGACGAAATTACGCTTGATTAAAAGCAACCTCAAAACCCACTTCTCCGTCACGTGAGTGTGAAATACTTGATGCTCCCTCGGTATCTTAATAAATGACAAAAATACCATCGATCGCAACCAATGACAAAACTACCCAGAACTATGGGTGGAAATTGGATTGAGTTGACCGGAGTGGATCCGGGTTTGGGTCGGGTCTGGGTCCACTTGATCTTGACCCGACGGGTCTATGGCCACCTTGGATCGTATCTGATCTGGTAGGGGTCAATCCGAAGATATTAGTATAAATTGCATATAAATAATGCTAGCTAGATAAGATACTATACATAAAATAAATTTTCTACTTTTTTTATTTGTAAGCTTAGGCTCCACCCAACCCAACGGGTTAGGTCTAGGTTCAACTAACTTGGACCATGACCAAGTCCGGATCGGGTCCCAACCTACCCTAAACCTAGTTCAATCGTGTCGAGATACCCCTGCTCAAAACCCAATTACTAAATGGGTGTAGAACCGAGGCTCTAAACAATCAAAGTAAAGCTCACCTTCAAATAGTATTGAGAAATGTGGTTTCAATACTAAAATTATTTGTGAAAGTTTTAAAATATATTTTCATATTTAATTATAAAATATAAAGCTCTAAAAATAGTATAGATTAAGCAAGATTTATGAAAACTTGGAAATCTTGAAAATTGACTGTTCAAAATGTATTACAAGATGTACTATTTACAAACTTGAACTTCATTTTTTACTCATGCGTGCATCTTGGTGTCGAGATGACCAGGATACTTGGGTATCAAAATAACCTCTTCTAATGAACATTTTGAGGTACGATCTAATTTGATTGTTTAGAGCTTTGGCTCTATATAAACTTTTTACTTACTGAATAATGGCAAATCTATTTTCATTTGCTAAAATAACCAAAATACCTTTTTTTTAATAAGGGGGCGAACTCCTCTTCTTCATGTCAGTTGAAAAGCATTAGGATCGAGGTGGTAGCACCCCCACAACCTAATCACTACGTTGTGGTTTTTATTTTTAATAATTTCACTAATCAAATAAAAAAATTTAAATTATTAAAAAAAAAAAAAAACGAGACGATTTATTTTTGATACAAAATAAGACATTAATCTTGACCACTAAATGTAAAATTAGGTGGAATTTTTTTTCAAATTTTACGATACATCCAAACTATCAAACTTCACATGAAATGGTTATAAATAATTATGACCACTTTGTATGAAAGATAAATGGTCTCCTTACATTCAATTCTTTAAAAAAAAATAAAATAAAATAAAAAAAAAAAAATAAAATAAAATAAAATAAAATAAAAGGCCAAGAGCCGATCTCTGTCTTTCCATCCGGACAAAATAAAAGCAATTCCTTAAATCAAATGACTAAACTATCCTTGATCACAAAACTCTAGGAACTGAAATGACCGAAGTACCCGTGGCTCTGGTGACACCCGTTCCCCATTATACCACCTCTAAACCGCCGCTATAATCCCTTAACATTATATTATATTATTCCAACACCAATCCCATATGCTCCATTCTTTCGCTCACCACCCGTCCAGAACCTCGCCGGAGAAAACCCCAAACCCACCGGGAAACCCTAGAAAATCGGCGGGGACCCCAACAATTCGCCGAAAAACCGCCACTAATGGAGACCCTCACCTTCTTCTTTGTCCTTCTCTTGTTGGGTCTCGCCATTTCAGACCCAGACGACCAAGCCTGCCTGTCTAGCCTGAAACAAAACTTTCAAGACCCAAAAGGAAGGCTCGCTCATTGGACCCAGAAGGCTTTAGCCTCTCCCTGTAATGGCGTCACCTCTTCCCTTGAAGGGGTTACCTGCAACAATGATCGCATATACAAGCTAACCCTTGTGAACTTCAATCTTGGGGGAACGATTTCACCCTTTATATCGAACTGTACAAGTCTCCAGACCCTTGATCTATCGCAAAATCAAATCTCCGGCCAGATTCCGGCGGAGTTGCAAAGCCTAGTGAACTTAGCAGTCTTAAACTTGTCGGAAAATAAACTTTCCGGCCAGATTCCGGCACAACTCGCTCTCTGTGCTTACCTTAATGTCATAGACCTCCACATAAACCAACTCTCTGGTTTGATTCCTCAACAGTTGGGTCTTCTTGTTCGATTGAGCTCTTTTGATGTCTCTTATAACAGGCTTTCAGGGCCTATTCCTGTTCTTTTGGCGAATAAATCAGGGGGTATACAGAGATTTAATGCGAGTTCATTTATGGGGAATAAGGATTTGTATGGCTTTCCATTGCCTCCTGCTAAAAATAGGAGCTTATCAGTAATAGCGATTGTTTTGATTGGGTTGGGGAGTGGGTTCTTGAGCTTGGTTGTGAGCTTTACTGCTGTTTGTATATGGTTGAGGGTTACAGAGCAAGGAATGGCCGCTGAGGAAGGGAAAATCAGTCAATTGATGCCTGATTATTAATTGGGTTTTGGAGTTGCAGACAAAAAAACAGAGGTTTCTATTCTCTCTCCTCTATTTCTCAAGTTTTTTTTTTTTCAGGTTGTATCTTGTTCGTGTTGGTGGGGCGTTGGGGGCAAGAAAAAGGTCAATTTTTACTCTAATTTTCTGAAGGTTTTTTCATGGTTTGGTTATGTTTCTCCGGTGGTTTCTGGGAGTTGCAGAGATGAAAGGTTTCATTTTACTTTTCTTATATCTTTAGTTACTCCTCGTTTTTGGGGTTTATTTTTTTATGATTTTTTGGTGTAATTAATTGCAGAGGAAGGATCAGATGAAGAGATTCAAATTTCTTTGACGATTGTATGCTTAACAATTCCGTGGTCACAATGATTCTGGTTCGCTCTCTGGTGATTAACAGTGTATACTAATACTATATTATATTTTTGTAGCAACTATTTCATTTTTTGTTTTCCTCTTTTGCTTTTGCTTTTATTAATTTCACAGTAATGTAATTGAACTATGTAGCATTTGGTTCTTCTTGTGCCCTTAAATTGGGTTTTCTTCTTCTTAACAGTGTATACTAATATCACTTTTCTTGGAAGGAAGAATTCTTTTGTTAATTATGGTTTTGCTTTAACAGTTTGAACTTTGATGACAGTGATTATGAGATTATGTAGCATTCAAAAAAGGTGATGGTATTTGTTTCATGGACTCTGTTTTCCTGAAGACAGCATTCAATGGAAATTCTTGAAGGAGCGACCCCACAGAATTTTTAGGAAAAAAGAAAAAGAACCTTTAGTGTGGGTCTGCAAAATTTATGAAAAATTGTCCCAAAAAGCCTTTCTTTTCTCGGTTAGATTTAATCCAGAAATTTTTTATATTTTTATTTGCATTAAATGTAAATAAGAGGCCGAGAAGCCTCTCATTTTATCACCAAATAATAATAAAGTTCGAAAATAAATGGAAGAAAAAAAGGAAGCTTCATCAGCGATCCGACGCTTCCGAGGTGCGGGTGTCAGTTCGGTTCGTGACTGAACTGAGAGAGGTATAATCGTCATTTGGGCATATTTGGCATTTTAGAATAGTTTGGGCAATTAACTCCGTCCCAAAATTGAACTTCAAAACATCAGTGGAAAAAATTTTCAGGTCAGTTTTTGGGTCGAACGGGCTGATTGACCCGACGAGTCTCCCTTGTTTTTCTTTTCTTTTTTCCCGAAAAGAAGTGGAGAAAGTTTAAGCACTTTAAAATAGGTTTAGGATCCTCAAATAGTTCCAAAAACAAAGTTTTTTCCATTAAATATTGTTTAATATGATTTTTGGGCCGGCCATAGTTTTGTTTTAATGAGAGACCCGGACTGGATGTGTCCCATCCAGTTTCGAGTTGAGGTTGAGGTGGTCACAAATAATCTTGACCAAATTGAGTGGCTGTAATAATTGCACTAATTAAGCTTAAAGTTCGAAAAATCATTTTTTGAATTTTGTGACTAACTCAAGCTATCATATTTCACTTAAGCTTAAACGGTCTCATTGTATAAAATCTTTTTTTTTTTAAATCCCAAGTAATAATCACTGCTCTTTTTTTTTGTCCCTTTTTTTTTTTCTTTAGTGAAAATACAGGGGGTTTTTATGGCTATTTTTCTCTCAATTGTTTTGGACACTTTGCTCTCCCCTTATTTTGAGAGGACTCGCTTAGATACATGGCAGATAAATTGTAGCGCACCATGTGGGGCAAAATAGGCATTTGTCTTGTCATGGACTCGTGCCATCCTACGCGTTCCCCGAGTGTCACGGGCAAAATGGTCATGGAGTCTTCTTGGCATTTAAGAAAAGATTGGGGTTGTTTTTTATACGGACTCCGTTTCACACCAGGTTGTAATATCGTCAAAAGATTTCGCGGTCCCGCGGGAGCCGGTAGTTTGCCCGAGGAGCGAAATGGACGTTTTGGTCCTGCGGGAGTAAATTAAATGAATTGAATAATTCTCTTGTCTGGAATGGGGGTGCTATTTGCGTGAAAGACGACAGGGCAGTTCCGCTGCATTTAATGCTTGGAATTTGGCTTTTCTGTTTTTTTCTTCTTTTTTTTTTTCTTTTATTATTGTATTACTCACATGAATAACACCAAAAAAATAAATACTTTTTTAGGGGCCACATGAAGAGCCAAATGAAAAATTAATTGAAATACATTCGAAATCAAGTATCTTTTCAATGTGTACTAAAAGCACTGTTTCAGAACTTTGATGTGGATCGTCCTCCCCCACGCATCCTTGTTGGATTCGAGATATGGATCAGTAATTTAAGATATATTTAAAAAAAAAAATTTAAATAAAGTTTTATGAAGTGAATATTTAATTGGAGATATGAAAACATTTGACAAGCTTCTAAAAGAAAGAAAGAAAAAAACAGGAGTTTTAGGGGGAGAATAAGGAAGGGACCAAAATTCTTTTTGGAACAAGTTCAGTCTCGAGCGATTACTGGTCCAAATCCGGATCAAGAATTGCGGGTTTTTAAAACATTAGTCAAAATACACGATTGCAAATCTAGTAATCTACAAAATAATAAGGAGCATATAAATATTAAGAATTTTTTTAAAGGGAATTATCACTTAAATCCTCAAATAACCTGAAAATATGTACTATTAAAGTAAGGCCAAAAAAACATCTTTAATACATAAGTTTTATAAGCACTTCTTTTAAAAAATGAAAAATTCTAAAATTGTCCTTCTTGGGGTTGGGAACATTGAACTACTAAAAGCATTTTTGTAATTTTGTTGTACTGAATTGGCTTGAGGTAAAAGATAAAAATAGCTAAGATTGTTCAGGATTTAGTACTATAGATGATAAAAATACCTTTAATTGTTAAAGTAAACTTACTTCTCAATTGTACAAAAAGGGTTACTTTTATCGTTTGGAGGGACAGGGTCAACGATTTGGCTTGGGGCTTTGGTAGTAGTATTGTTGGGTTTTATGGTGAGATTTTTTATGCCATTCTTTTCAAAAGACTGACATACAACTTTTTTTTACCTAAAATAAAAAATACACATTGACTTACAACTTTTTTTACCCAAAATAAAAAAAACAACTAATGCTTTAAAATTCCGCTAAGACCACACAATGCAAAGAAATTCGCAAAAAATGCTTAATTGTTTTGCCGAACTCTAGATAGAGTTGGAAAATTTTTAAGAGAACTTTGAGGTAATTATTGAATGTAATAAGTTTCAAAAGTGGTAAATAATATCTTTTGTCCACTTGATAATTCTGTAAGATGATTGAGGATTTTAAGTGATATTCTTATTACAGAAACGTACTGAAGACATGCACTATTTAACATCTATTTTATTTAAGGGTTTGTCTACAAAGAGACCATGTATTTTTTGTATAAGGAGGACACAATCATCATTGTCCTTTAAATTTCAAAATGAGTAGTTATAAGAGTGTTTTTTAATAGACAACGTTCTAGAACAAATTTTCGAACTTCACCACCAAATCTAAGCCATTCAATTTAACATCTTATGAGCGGGAATAGTTATTTCAAAATGAGTGGTTATAAGAGTATCTTTGAATAGACACAAAGTTTTAAAACAAATTCTCGGACTTCGCCACCAACCCCAAGCCATTCAATTTAACATCTAATGAGTGGGAATAGTTATGATCTCATTGTAATAAAGATAAATGACAATCCTTTTATTTAAATAAAGCAACCTATCAAAATAACAGATAGTGAATATAACCTTATTAAAAAACAAAAATTAAAGTGGCATTTTTCGATACATCTTTGCAAATAAATTTCTAAATCACATTTTATAACTCAAAAAATGGTGCAAATATTTTTCTTTATATGTGAATTTATAGCTTGAAAAATAGTGTGAATTGACATGGGAAACACGAAAACAAAGGAGGGGAAAATGGTTATAAAACACCTATTAATTTTAAAATTCATTTTTTTTTCTTTTCATATTCCTTGTGGTCAAGAGCATGGACATATGAAATTTCGAATCAGATTTTTATCTCTAAGATGGATTTGAGATGGTGGGCGCCCTAGAACAGGGTGTGTCCGATACAAATAAACGAACAAAAGGAAAAAGTTTTGGTGGGTCTAAAGGGATTAGAATCTAAACGACCACAATTATGAGTGAGTTAGAAAAAGCAATTGAAGATTTAAAGTTAGAATACTTTTTTAAAATATAAATAAATAGTCTATAAACAATAAGGAAACAAAGTTAAAATAAGTCAATTTTGATAAAAGATGGTCTAAAATCAATAAGAAAAAAAGTTTAAAATTATCCATTTCTAAAATATTAAATTCATATTTTTTCATATTCACACTGTATGCCTTCAATTTTAAGAGAATAAAATCTCTTAAAATTTATTAAGAGATTTCATTCTCTTTAATGATATTTTTCTTGGAAAAGTTTTATATAAGGTTGCAACCTTACAATGTAGAATTGCATTTGCATCTCAAAAATCCAATGGGAAAGGTTGTTTTAATGTTGAAAACCCCTTTAATTGATCATCTTGGCATCGAAATGTATGAATATGAATAAAATAATATTTTAAATCTAAAAAATAGTAGCATCTTGCAACACATTATCTAGATTATCCACTTTCAAGATTTTTATTTGTTTATAGATCTACTTGCTTTTAATTATTTTTAGAGTTTAAAATTTTATGATTAGATATAAAATAGATTTTCAAATAATTCTAAAAAACTTAAACACCAAAATTACATGTTAGGATAAATTTTGGAGGTGCGTCTATTCTTTTTAAAGTTGCAACTTATAGAAACCACACCCTTTTTTTTTAGTTTTTAATACTTTATATATATAATTTAGATATTACTTTTTTTCCTTGATGATCCTGCCTCCGAAATTTAAATGTAAAATCACCATCCTCAAAAACATTTTAGAGACAGACCGTCCGCATGGACTCACGTGATTTGTTCCAAATAAATTTTCCAATTTTATAAAAAAAAAATGAACTTTTTCCAGCCTTCAAATCTCACTGATTGATGATGGTTGATAATGATGACGATGGTCGGGCGTGTGTAGACTTTGACTTTAAATAGGATCCCCATCACTTTCTTTCTCATCGATGCTTGTGCTTGATACATGTCAAGATGCAGGACATGGGATTTAGAGGTAATTTTGGATATCATAAAGATTTTCAGTATTGAAACCATACTTTTAGACTCTATTTGAAGGTGCGCTTTATTTTGACGGTTTAGAGCCTCGGCATTATACAAACCTCACCCAATAAATAAAGCCTCACCTCATAACTCATTGAAAATAACAATTCAAGCATTAGAAAATATATTTACATTTATTACCTTGACTTGAATATTATAGATGTGAAAAAAAAAAAAAAAATTCTAGCTCTAAAAATAGTGTATATTGTAACAACTTATCTAGACAATTTATTTCACCTTAAAAGTAAGTGTTTATAGATCCGCAAGATCTGTATCATTTTTCTGAGTTTCGAATTTTATTGTCGGTATTGAAAATTGATTTAGAGCCATCATGGAGATTTCTGTTGCCGAAAATGTTTTTCGGATGAGGATTTGAGATGAGGTTTTATTTTGTTTTCATAAAATCTAGGCATTATAAAAAACCTCATCCTTGTGAAAT